AATTCACTTCGGATATTTATAAAAGTATCTTTATATATTCATTTGTTTTCTCAGCTAATTAACGCAAATTCTGTGAATGTGCTTCTAATCACAAAAAAAACCTTAATCATGCGAACAATTAAGCCCGCAGCCCTTCTCGCTTCCATCTGCCCGACCATTCCATCAGCAATACGCGATGGATTCAATTGCTCATCAAGACCGAGACCACGAATATGTGAATGTACACCGATACGTTCCATTTTCAATACATCTCTTACCTCAACTCCATCTATGGTAGTCATCTTTTTTGTGCTTTGATCGTTTATTGGTTAATTATATACCTTAAATTTAACTTATGAAGGAATATGTTACTAAATAAGGCAATTAGCGATCGTTTGAACCAGTGAACCAACGTTTGGAGCAGAGATCGTTTGGACCTCACAATTGCAAACAGTTACAGCACGGAAAAACTGACAGATGGAAAAATAACATCTGACAAAAACAGAAATGAGATGAACTTTATAACGAAATCGTTACAATAAGATGTTATAAAATGCAATATGCTAATCTCCACCTAAAGAGTCAATAAAATAGTAACACTCCAGCGTCAAAATAACATCCGTCGCTTGATGTGCCGCAGAGCTGAATTCATTCTTTCAGATACATTGAAAAAACTGCAGCAGTATAAATATGAGCAATTCAAAATAACACTTACTTTTCTACTGACGAACAAATCATTTAAAAACTCTCGTTTCGCTGAATAAACCGGCAGTGTGAGCATTCTTCGAAAAATCGCTCGTCGCAAATCACAGGTTCGTTCAAGTGCGCAGAGATGGTATACAAACAATTCGCCAAATACGAACGCAGTGACAGTTTGCCAAGTGACGGAAGTGGAATTTTCATTTGATATATGTTCAGAAATGTGAATTTCTTACCTATTTAGCGGCAATAAATCCGGGCAATTCATATATCATTTTGTAGCGCAGGTCCAGGAGAATAAAATTATTTGATAGATTTGCCAGTAATCGATATATGTTCGAGATTTTCGATTTCGTGTTAAGTGCAAAAATGTAACAGATAATTTGAATTGGTACCCACTCGACAGGAAAAATTTATAACATGACATACACCATGTTATAGCCGAGATTGAGTGCAACAGAAATCTTATATAATTTTGTCGCCAAAGTTAGAAGAGTTACGACGCTCGGCGTGAACAATGGTGATGTTCAGTGGTTACAATTGGCATGCATAGTGAAGAAATTGAAATTCTCTCTATTGCGAATACAAAAAGTAGACGGAATGTTGTACACCATGTTGTAGCCGGGATTGAGTACTACAGAAATTTTTTTTAAATTTTGTCGCCAATCGTTAAGTTAGGAGAGTTATGACGCTCGGTGTGAGCAATGATGATGTGCACTAATACTCTCACTGACTATAACCGACTGAAATTCTTCTGAAAATGTAACACAGATAAAGCGCGAGATTTCTGAAGCTTTGTTTTGATAATAACCACCTCATTATTAATAATAACAGTTCACACTTTTTAAAATAATAAAAATATAAAATCGAATTCACAATAACAATGATAAAATCAAAAAATCTCTTCATGAAACACGAAATAAGAAGAGAAAATAAACAATGCAAATGCAACATGAAACGGAAATGATAAATTGGGATAAGTACGAGCACTGTTCATTTCAACAATAATATTCTTTCAGAAATGAACAGAAAGGGAAACTACCACTTGAACGAACGTACGATTTGCGACGAGCGATTTTCCAAAGAATATTATTCCATTTTCCAAATCGCAAATTCCATTGCCGAAGAATTGCCCGATCATCCATTAATAACAATAATATTCATTCGCACGATAAGCATCAAAAACGTATGAAAGTAGTGTGGTGTGCGGATCGGGGATTTCGGGGACCTCGTCTCTGACTTTTCCGAACAAACCATAGTTTTGGGGTCCCCGACTAGAACACTTCGTCTCCGTTTTTTTCGGTCCCTGCAATACTGGTAGTCAGGAAATTTCAGTGACTCCGTCCCCGAGTCCCCATCCTCGACATTTTCTTAGCCGACCGCATTTTTGGGGTCCCCGACTGCAAAATTTCGTCCCGATTTTCCCCGACTTTTTTGCATCCCCACACCGCACTGTAAAAAAGGACATAATTATTAGTGACATAAAAGGACATAATTACTACTCTAACGACAGTTGGGGAGGAGAAGGCAAAAAGAAGGGTGAAAACGATATGCAGCATAAACCAAAAGGAAATACACCATTGTACCATTTATAATAAATAACTTTGGCAATATTTTTATGCTAAAATGAAAGCAAGTAATATAAGTAAAATAGGACTGGCACACTTTTCCAGGCGATATATTATAATGATGGCAAGGGCAAACTCGTGATATTGACCACAATAAGTAACAATGAAAAATTGTGTTCAGTGACTGAGAATAAAATACAACATTTTCCGGATACAACAAATAATTGCATTTAGTTTATATTCACCGCGAGGACAAGTTCAACCAAGTTTACTTGAAAGCGTGAAAAATTCATGACAAGGGAGATCAACATGTTATTTACAACGTTATATTCCATGCAAAGGTT